TTTAGTTTAGTTTTCCCCACCTACCTATGTTCTGCCTTCTATAGACCTAAGACAGTTTCTTTATTATTCAGTGGAATTCACAGCATACAGAAGGCAATTCCATATCAACGCCCCTTTTCTGTTAAATAAAAAGGAGGGTTTTAAATTTAACATAGTAAAATTACATATAACAAAAGAGGTATCAAGCAAGAATTACAATTACAATATTTATAAATACTTTTTCTTTTATCATAACTAAGGAAAAATATAAGTAAAACTTGCATACACCTGTGTGTAACCCTTGCCAAAGTCAAAAGAATCTTAAATTATTGCTGTGTTAGGACAGTCATTTTTGGACACTAGCCACCACCTTCTTTTGCTGAACCTATCAGTATGTATTTTTTATTTCAATATCTCACCCTAATTCACTGAGCCCTTTTACAATAGTCTCCTTAGAAGGACTTTGAGCCAGGAATAAACAATGAATTTTCAGAAAAAGAGATTACTCATCAGAAAGTAAATATGATATGTGTGAGATAAATCATATTTAGTAATTAAATAAGATGTTTCTATCATGTATTTAATTTTAATTCCAAATAGAAATCTGATTATTTTATGTCTACCTATTTAGTAAAATGAGATTTTTTTCAAGAATAACCAGAGAAATGCATTTATTTCATTAATTTTTAAATTGTTACCTTTGCATAACTTTTTAAAAAAAATCATTAACACCTCACATCTGAAAAATGTTTGAAATTCAAATATTGAGTAAACACCTTAGGCTTATGTTTTATTTCCAACAGTTCGAAAGGCTTCTAATAAGCCTATCCTTCCAGTGTAGGGTGGCTTTCCTTAATAAAATCTTACTAAAAGACATGTGTTCACATATCCTTTACTCTCCAAAAACTGTAGATAAGCAAGAATAAGAAAATACTGAATACTCAAAGTTGGTCAATAGACTGAATATGTTCCTTAATATTTTTATATATGCCCTTTGTTCTATTCTCCGAATGCTCATTCACATGTATTATATGTGATATATTACATTTGCTCTCTATATTATATTACATATTCCTATATTAAATTATATTATTATCTGACAACTGCAACAATAAATATATTTTTCTTAGATATACATAAATTTTAAATGGTCCTATGTGAATCCTAAGAGTGTATTAACACAAATTCTCCCTCTATTCAAGTGCAGTGACAGTGATACCATTATCTATGATCAGTTGCTTACACTGATACTAGCAATGGCTGCTATGTCAGAACTGTTACCTGGCCATCATTAGCACCGAGAATCTGTGAGCCAAGAGTAGTGGCACATGCCTGTTATCTCTTTCTCAAGAGCCAAAGTCAGAAAGATGTTAATTTCATGACCTCTTTGAGCTACACAACACAATCTTGTCTCAAGGCAAAAGTACAAAATAAGCACTGAAAGTCTTGAAGAATCAAGGACATACTGAGTAAGGAAAGTTAAATGAAAAATTCATGTTTATATTTCAGGAATATGATACTTTAAATAAAACATGTAGTTCCTTTTAAATTTGTATGATTTATTCAATGTGTACCACAACAGTTTTATTATTGTTGTCCAGTCTCTAAGACTGAGAAGACAAATAATCAAATCTGGCACAACCCAAATTCAAATCCAAACAGTTCCATTTTTCCACATTTACATTCCTTTTTTTACAGATGACTCAGCAATTTACCCTGACTTCAGAAATAAGACATTCAATATAAACTCCATTTTGTGAATGAGTCTCAGATATAATGACCTAGCTTCTATGATTTTTGGTTGTCTTGATTCTTTAGGTATTACTGCTTTGCATTAACTGAATAAAAAGTCAGTCTATAAAAATGGCGCTATTTCTCCAATAAAATATTTTCAGACTGGTTGTATATTCACGGGTATTGGCGCTTGTCTGGCATTGGAAGATATTATGTCCATTCCCAGCAGTACAAAAGTTTATTTTCCTTAACTATTTTAAAATATACCTTTAGTTCTTTTCTCTACTTGTTAATTCACATGTGTTATATGTGACAAATTACATTTGATTTCTATATTACTATTTAAATTGATATTACAACTGTAACAATAAATATATTTTTCATAGATATATGTGAATTTTAAATGGCCCTGAGTTAACTCCAAGTGTGTATTAACACAAATTCTCCCCCATTCAACTTCAGTGACATGATGCATTATCTATGATTAGGTGCTTACACAGATACTAGCAATAGCAGCTATGGTGGAACAGCCCGTAGCCATCATCGGTGCTTATAAGTTGTTAAGCCAAGGGTAGTGGCACATGCCTATAGTCTCAGTCCTCAAGAGATAAAGACAAGAGGATGATAATTTCATGCCCTCTCTGAAATCCACAACATAATTCTGTCTCAAGGCAAAAGATCAAAAGTAAACAGTGAGAAGATATTGAGTATCAAGTACATACTTACTTCAAAGATATTAAGTAGAAAAACTTACAAGTTTATATTTCTGGAATATTGTATTTAAAGCAAAGCTTGTAATACTTTTAAAACATATATCATTATTTATCATTTATATAATGTGAAACTCAGAAGTTTTAATAGAAACATGCAGAATCTAAGAATCAAATTAATATTCAAAACATGTAGAACTCAAACTCAAAACCAAATCATTTCTGTTGGTCTTTCCATTTGACACAGTTTACTAAACTCATGCCAACATAGGATCATGGCGCACCCACCTAAGTCTTTTGTTATTTCAGCTGACATCTACTGAAAGACTTTGGGGCACCTCAGCATTCCTGCACGCCCCCTTCCTGGGAACCAGGAGACCCCAGTAATCAACCACACATGCACTGGAACTTTGAGTACTTTCCATTTCTTTTGTAGTCTTTCTTCAATAGACCCAGACCCTGGAACTGGGGTGAGACAACCTGCAGATAACCTGCAAGTGTTCCTCCTTGTTTAACCAACCCAGCAACGGCCATAGCATTGATCAATTAGAGTTAGCTGACCATTAAATGAACTAGTCAAAAATAGTTGACAAATGATTTCTGCACTCTCTCTTTTGATTCTGTACTGCCCCCTCCTTGATTCTGTGGTGTTTTTTTTCCTTTAAAGGAGCCTGTAATAGAAAAAGCAGGGGTCCTTCTCCTCTCGAGGCTGAGGGACATCTGCCATGGCAGCAAAATAAAAATTCCTCTTGCTATTGCATCAACCACTCTGAGAGTGTCTCTTGGGGCGACCTCCTCCTTGGTGAGGCTTTAGGGCCCAACACTACTAACATTGACTCATTTTTCAGGTGTGTACAGTTAGCAAAAAAATCATCATCCCTCCAGCAGGGCATGCAAATTTTTATTATTTAAATTTTTTATTTCATGGATTTCAGTAAAAATTTTTCCTGGAAGTTCTATTAGTTATTAATGAACACTGACTATGCTTCTGGACATTGGAGAAGGAAGGAAAAGTTGTCAGATGTTTGACTGATAACACTCAGACTTTTATCGTGTTTATTTACATTTTTCCATTCCTAGCTCAATTCAACCTCATGTTGATTACTCTTCACACTTTATGCACACTCTTCGGCTCAGCCTTTTTCCACAGCATTCATCTGCTTCCCAAAACCTTTCCTGTCCTCATCAAGATTGTTGTTGTCTCTGAAACTCTGCTCAGCTCCTCCCTTTACTTAGACATTGTGTTGGCAATCATGCCTTCAGTCAAGACACCTGCCACCTCCTAAAAAAGAGTCCTTCAACCAGTCCACCCAAGAGAGTAAGACAGGTATTCTCAGTACAAAAGTCCTTCAACCAGCTCACCCAAGAGAGTAAGACAGTTATTCTCAGTATAATTACATTCAAGACTTTGCATATTAATTTTTCCATTATACTCACAAGTACAAAATCAAGTTTTATCAAAACCTTAGTAGTCTGTAGCCTTTCGAGATCACAGATATCTTCAGCCTTCCTCACAGCTACAATCGTAATGTTTGACCAAATCCTAGATAACCTGATGTCTAAAATAGGATAGATGCTCATTTTATATTTGCTTTTCAATAAACTCATTCATTGTATATTATAAAAATTAAATTAGTAAATAGAGAGAAGTAACTAATAATAAATTATGATTATATAATTTTTTGAGGAAAAGACAAAATACCATTAACAATGACAACTAAAACTGATTAGTCAAATTCTTCCTAATGAATACAAAGCATGTTTTTATACATACATTCTTCCTCTCAGGTCTATAAATAGAAAACCTAATATAGGTTCCCTTTATTCTAAAAGACCACAATTGTTTCATTTTTAGTCTGCATACACTGGAATCATAACAGACTCATCAACTCCTCTTTACTAAACTGATTTAAGGATAAAGAGAATCATTCAAAAAGAAATCTACAACTATTCCAAGATGGTTCACAATCCCAGTCATGATTAAGATGTAGATAAATAGACGAACATGTGCCTACCATACAAGAGAACATGAATAGACACCGTAAACAAACAACCTACAAAAATTTTCAAAAATATAGTTTTAAAAGATCTCATGACCTTATTATTTCTGAGTATATTATGATCCATTGCTTTGTATATTTAAATCTTCATGCTTCCCAAGACTGGAGTGTAACATACTAGTAGCTGGCTGCACAAATGCATTTGATCAGTTTTCAATACTGAAAAAAAGATACATATGGTTTTGGAAAATTAAGAAATAAACAATGCTCTCTGCCGTTAAAGGATAATGAGTTAATCATTCTTCGCTGTCTTTATTTCTGAAATTTCCCTTGTTAATGAACTTAATTTAATTTTGTGTAATGTTAAATTGCTTTAATTCTGTACTACTTTAGTCAGTTGCTTCTGGTTGTCTTCTAACATGTTTTGTTTTTTGTATTTTGATGTTATTTTGTCATTGAAGTTTCTCAATACAGTGGGTAAAATTCAGGGCCTCACACCTATATACAAATGAATGATCCTTCAGGTCCTACGTGTCACATGTCCTAAGATTTACTTCAATAACAAATAGAGTTTCTATTAGGTAAACATTTTTTTCCTCAAAGTTTTTCTCAGTGCAATGTGGACATCCTTGTTCCTTAAACTATAGATGAAAGGATTAAGCATCGGGCCCAAAATGGTATAAAAAATAGAAGATATTTTATCCTCATCCCCAGCCACACTAGAAGGTTTAAGATACATAAATGTTGAGGCTCCAAAGAAAAGGGAAACAGCTATTACATGAGAGCCACAGGTGCTGAAGGCTTTTGACCTACCCTCTGCAGAATGGATGCCAAGGATGCTGTAAAGGATCAAGGTGTAAGAAATAAAGATAGTCAGGCTGGGCACTGTTACATTGATACCCGCAACAATGAAAACCACCAGCTCATTAATGGCAGTATGTGCACAGGAGAGCTTCAGAAGAGGAAGTACATCACACATGTAGTGATTGATGATGTTGCCATTACAGAAGCTAAGACTTAGCATGTTACCAGTATGTACCAAACTTCCCACAAACCCCATTACATACACAGCTACCATCATCAAGTGGCAGACCTGATAGGACATGGTGACCTGGTAAAGCAGTGGTTTACAGATGGCAGCATATTTGTCATAAGCCATTGCTGTCAAAATGTAGACTTCGTTAATAACAAAGAAGACAAAGAAAAAGAACTGAGTCATGCACTCTGCATGGCAGATGGTGTTCTGATTTACAAAACTGACCAGCATCTTGGGGATTATGACAGAGGAAAGGCAGAGATCTGTGAAGGAAAGGTTGAAGAGAAAGTAGTACATGGGGGTGTGCAGGTGAGGGTTCAAAATAATCAGAACAATCAAGCCCAGGTTCCCCACCATAGAGACCACATAGATTCCCAAGAAGAGGAAGAAGAGAGGCAGCTGGAGTTCTGGCTGCTGAGTCAATCCTAGCAGAATAAACTCTTTCACTGAAGAGTCATTTTCTGAAGCCATTCCTTGGTTCATAGCTGTAGGAACAGAAAGAAAAAATTACATTAAAATAAAATCTCAGCCCTCTCCAAAGCACACTAAAATGAAATTAAGAACCACAATTGAATGATAAATCAAGCTCAGACTTCTCTGTGCTTTTGCTTTCTACATTTCATGGGAGTTCATGGAGAAATAAACATAAATAGGTGAAAGGCCACTTCTCTGAGAAGAATATTAAGAAAAGCAGTGATCATTTTAGTTTCTACAGCATCTCTGTTCTTCTTCTATCTTGTAAATCCACCTCCCACTTTAGGTTCAGCGATAATCACAAAAGAGAAGAAACATGCCAGATCAAAGTCTCAAGTTGGATTTAAGAAAAGCATGTATCCAACTCAATACTTACCCTTGGAAAATAGGACTCATCAGTGACCTCTTTGAATCTTCTCTTTGCTCACAGATGGGCAAGTTCTAGTGGCATTGAAAAGCTGTAAAGGTGCATAACCCCAAACACACACATAGATAATTTTCTGTAACATTTGCCTTTCTTTGATGAGGGGAATTAATTTTGGACTGGCAAAGTCAAACCATCATTTCTAGAAATTAAAAAAAAATCATGACAGTAGATAATTATTTGGAGTGATGTTTTTTCCAAGGTTGTCCTCTCTGACCTAAAGGCTATTAAATAGTAGCTACTAATGTCAAAAGAGCCCAGCAATAATGACTCAAGAGAGTTTTATGAGACTGTAGTCTTAGGAACCTCATTAAAACTTGAAAAGTTTTTGTTTCCTGGGTATTTATCCCAAAAGATCAGGCTTTATTGCAACAGTACTTAGAGATTAGTTCAACAGTAATGATAATGGCTTTTGGAGAGATACATTTTGTTGTGTTTTTATTGTTTTAAAATTTTATACATAGATACAATGTGTTTTCAACAAGTTCACCTCGAATTCTTCCACTGCAATTCCTCCCCAACCTCTTACCACTATCCTCTCACAACTTCACTTATTTCCTTATTTTTTTAACCTACTGTGTCTACTCAGCACTGCTAGTATGCTTATAATGTAAGGATATCTATGTGAGAATAAAGAGCCTCTCTGGGGCCCCATCCTTGAAAATGACTGTTTCTACCAGTAGCCACCAAATGACAAGAGTTCCACACCTTGAAGTGAAACTTCATAACTATATCATTCTTCAATACCTGTGTTTTGTAAGGTTTTATTTTACACAGGTCTTATGCATTCTATCTAAACCACTGGGAGTATACTTGAATACTGAACACACTGAGTACTCAAAACATAGTTTCAGTGTTTTTATATGTCGCATCTGAGTTTTACAATCTTCCCATTTCTAATTTACTTTTGACAATTTAGGCTTAGGAAAGGGATATGATGTGGTGGTCCCTTTTAAGATGAGCACTCCCAAATTCTTGTTCACTGCCAAATTCCAAATTATGGATGTCTGCATAAATCACTATTTATGCCAAAAAATGCTGATGATGGTGGAAATTTGCACTAATAGATGGGTTTAATTTATTATGGAAACTTTTTAGAATCATTTTGGCATTATATTCACAGCAGAAAAACAGCCATATGTTACGTACTTCCCTAGGGCTTCTGTCATATCTGGTCTCAGGTAGCTCTTCCCAAGAATATGCTGGGAATGAGCTCTGTCAGTAAAGCACTCTGAAATCCAAAAAGAAATTGCCTGTTTACTCCCATAACACATGTACCAATACAGAACTAGAGGGTATATTCTGCCAGGTCAGCAATTATTGTGGCTTTTAGGATCCACAGCTATATAAAATTGATTATTACTATTTGCCTGTTATGGGATGCTTACATTGTAATTGCTAACAAACTAGAAAATAGGGATGAAGCTTCTAGGGAGAAATGAGCTTTGTTTCCCCATGTTTTGAATAAACTATATGGTATCTTCAACAAAAGGATCTCACCATCAAGTAATGGGCATAACCAAGAGCAGTAGCAATAGCCTGTGATATTGGAGAGTTCTATGGAACACAGCTCAAAAACAATTCCAAGATAAGTATCCTATTCCTGAATCTCAGTTTTAGTTGATGGCCTTCATGTCTAGGAGGAAGGCTATCTCCCAAATAATTCCTTTTTATACATGAATATATCTTAAGAAACTTATACAGTAGTGGGCATACACACAACTCTCTCAAAGGCCTTAATGTCAGTTATATCTCCTCAAACTCCCCCGCTATTCTGTCCTCCCATATCCTGACCCACTCAGTCCTCCTGCTGCATTAGTCTCCAGTCTTCCTTCATCCCACCTGTGCTCTGGATTAACACACATTTTATTCCTGCCACTGTGGGCACCCTACAAACAGAAAATCAGGAAAACCTGTCCAATATACAATGGATTCTTTGTATTTTCCATCAGTAAATGAAATCCTATATATTAGTTTAGAAATTTTTTCTTTCATATATATCACACATGTCTTAATCAAAGTCTTTAATCTCAAAAGGATTTTGTCAGTTTTCCTAGCATCTACTTCTGAGGCACTTAAATAATTAAAACTGATATATAAAAGGGGTGCTCTATAAAAATGTATAGAAGAATGAATAAGTGAACATTCTTTTCCAGTTCTCTAAGGATGCATACTGGATATTCTTCACAAAATTTTCCCAAAAGGCAAAGAAATATAAGATACCAAGATTCTTATTTATAGACAAGAAGGTAGAGAGTGATGGCAGTCATAAAAATTGTTCAGGCACTGCCACCACATAGAGGCCATCAAAGGTAGTTCCATGTTAGAGTTATGAACATCGGAAGAAAGAAAATAAAAAGCTATAGCTCTCATCAATGAATATCACCCTGATCTTCTGAATAATACAAAGAGTACAAAATGTCTCTTTACATACAATAGTTGCATAGACTGAGATCAGAGAAAAAATAATTGTAACAGTGCAGTATAATGAGGTCTTAAATGCCAAAATCTAGATTCTGTTCCTTCTGTGGTGCCATTGGGATTCAGTAAAATGTTTTATACATTTGTAGAGCTAAACTGAAACATCTACAGTACTTAAAAAGATAAATATAGCCTGAGAATACTAGAGAAAATGACTAGAAGGAGAAAGAGAGAAGTAGCATGAGTTTCAGAGGGAATAACAGTAGTTGGAAAAGAAGAAATGGTGAGAAACAAGGTAGTATAGGATAGCAGCAATGAAGGGGAAGAAATGGAGGATGAGAAAAGAAGGTCCCTGAAATAAGAATAATTCTGTGAGGAGTTCTGAAAAACAAAATACAAAAGAGACATTAATAGAGAGGATTCAATAAGGCTTCTAATGAAAGGGATACAGGTAAACAAAAGACACAAAATCCTTCAAAACACTAGCCTAAAGGCGGACTAAATTGTAGAGTTGTCACAAACAGAAGATTTTGCTGGTGGGAGGTTATCTCCTGCCTGTTTTTGTGGATGCAGTTAGCTTCCTAGGGTTGGGGTTTTCCTTCATGTACTTTCTATAGGGCTGGGTTTGTGGATACATATTGTTTAAATCTGTTTTTGTCATGGAATATCTTGTTTTCTTTATCAACGGCGATTGAACACTTTGCTGGGTATTGTTGTTTGGGCTTGCATCCTTGGTCTCTTAGTGTCTGCAGCGCATCTTTCCAGGACCTTCTGGCTTTCATGGTTTCCATTGAGAAGTCAGGCATATTTCTGATAGATCTACATTTATATGTTACTTGACCTTTTTCCTTTGTAGCTCTTAATATTATTTCTTTGTCCTATATATTTTGTATTTTGATTATTATATGGTGAAGGGATTTTTTTTATCCAGTACATTTGGCTTTCTGTAAGCTTCTTGTGCTTTCATAGGGATATCCTTCTTTAGGTTAGGAAAGTTTTCGTCTATATTTATATATATTTTCTGTGCCTTTGAGCTGGAGTTCTTTTCCTTCTTTTATACCTATTATTCTTAGATTTGGTCTTTTCATGGTGTCCCAGATTTCCTGGATGTTTTGTGTTAAAACTTTGTTGGATTTGTTTTCCTCTGTAGTATCTTCAGCACCTGAGATTCTTTCTTCTATCTCTTGTGTTCTGTTGGTTATACTTGCCTCTATAGTTCCTGTTCATTTACCCAGATTTTCCATATCCAGAATTCCCTTGGTTTGTGTTTTCTTTATAGCCTCTATTTCAGTCTTCAAGCCTTGAACTGTTTCTTCATCTGTTTGATTGTTTTCTCTTGGTTTTCTTAGGTTTCTTTGAGGGATCTATTAATTTCTTCCAATTTTTTGTTTGGCTGTCCTCCAATTCTTTGAAGGTGATTTTCCTTTCCCCTTTAAGTGTCTCCATCGTCTTCATAAAGTTACATTTAAAGTCGTTTTCTTCTGCTTCTTCTGGTTTAGGATGATCAAGTCTTCCTCTTGTGTGACCACTGGATTCTGGTTGCTACTATGTTGCTTTTTCTGTTGTTGGTTGAATTCTGGCCTTGGTGCCTACCCATCTATTCCTTCAAATGAGACTGGCAGTGTCTTTATATCTTGATCCAATCTTTGCAGTGTCTGTCTGAGTCTTTGGGAATTGTTCTTGGTCTGCTCTGTACTGTCAATGTCTGTGTTTCAGGGAGCCACTGAGGCCTCTCTAACCTGCTCTCTTCATCTTCTCTCCTGGTTCACACTCTTGGTCCTCTCTATTGGTCTCCTCAGGGTTGTAGCAAGCTCTTGGTCCCCTTGATATTGTAGCAAGCTGTGTTTCAGAGTTCCACTGAGGTTGCAAAAGGATAGGTGAGTTTGGGGTTGTGATGGGGCTAGTATCTTGCATAGTCCAATGGATGGGGGTTAGGTGTTAGGGGAGCCTGCCTGGGAAACTCTCCTGCTGACTGGCTAGAGAAGCCAAGGTAGTTGGGAGAGGGGCCTGGGGTTTTGTCCCACTATGGAGGTCATAGAGAGTGAGGTGTACTACCGTGTGGCTGGTCACTAATCTCTGGTTCAGTTTTGAAGCAAACTGTGTTTCAGAGTTCCACCAAGGTTGCAGGAGGATAGGCGAGTTTGGGGGCGGATAGGACTAGTAG